CAACCTACCACCTCGAGGCGGCGCTGCGGCGCGCCGAGGCCGAGCTCGCCCGGACGAGGCGCGAGGTGGACGAGGTGAATGCCGCGCGGCGGCGGCGCCAGGCCCACGTCGCCGCCGAGATGGCCGGGCTGGAGGAGGCGTGGAGGGCCGGCGTGGGCAGGGTGCTGGAGACGGAGCTGGCCGTCGGGGAGCTCAAGGCCTCGATACGGGAGGAGCTGAGGAAGAAGGGGGGGCCGCGGGGCTGACGCCGTGCTCATTTGTCTCTTTTGTCTTTTTCCTCTTGGTTGCTGAGAAAGGAGGGCGTCTTGCCAGGGGAAAATAATCTGCGGGACCAAGGGACCGGAACCGTTTTGCGGAATAGGGGCTGCCCGGATGGGTGAATGTGCTGACGGATCGGACGCTGGAACGAGTTGGCTCGAGGTTTAAACGGCTTTGGGCTCTTGATCGACACCACACCGCCCATGAACGGGGGGCCGGTTGATGTTGTGTGGCTGGACTTTCTGGCACGCACTTTGATCAGGGCATTACAACAACCAGTTTTTGCTCATTGGACAGAGCTGGAGGCAGAGTCGAAAAACCGACTCCCGCAAATGACTATGAACAGCGCTGCGGGCTGCATACTCGGGGGGCAGACAGGAAACCCAATCCGTCGCACAATTAGGTAAAAAGAGAAGAAGAAAAAAAATGGCCGAGATGGGCATTCTTTTTTTGGGAAAACATGCTGCAACGGGGAGCACGTACATGATAGTCGGCTCTCTCCGGCTCACCCCCGTCACTAGTGGAGACTTGCGCAAGGACCCTGACGCTTCGGAACGGAAAAGGGGGGGCGGGAAACCCTCGGACGTGGTATAGGCGAAGCCAAGCTCCAGACAGGGAAATTTGTTTGTTACTTGCACATTACGGAATACGCATCGATGGAGCATGCTGGCGTTTGTATTTCCGAATCAACAGATTTGCATTCCCTCTCACTCTATCCCTTTCCGTAGCATGTTACCGGTGATCTAATAAACAAGCATTGGTAGATATATACCTTCATGTTTGCAGAAATATGGCAGCATACAACTTGTAGACCATCATCAAACGTCTCACAGCATGGCAGTACGACTCTCGAATCGGCTCGGTAGTCATAATTCACTATCAAACAAGGTATCTATCTGTTCATGTAGCCATGGCTCTTTCTTCCTTTAGGAAAATGAGGTTGAAGGCGTGTAATTCCTCTCCAAAACAGCAAAACGCCGACTCGAAACCCGTTTCTTCCACCGTTCCGCCAATTCATGCAGTATTGTACCAGGGCACCGCCGTCTCCCCCACGCCCACTTAGCCAAACTTTGGCAGAGCCTATTTTAGCTGTCTTGAAGTCATGGCCGCATTTTTGGTCATCCACCGCATCAAAGCCCACACGGCATCATTTCAAACTTGGAGCAGTACCCTAGTCGCGGTGCAGAGGGTCCATTTCCTCGACTCCAGTGGCGACACCTTCGTATCTGGTACGGCGCAGAATACCTTCTACAGGACCCAGGAGTCTCTGGAAAGCATTCTTGCCGAGCGTTGCCACCTTGACCTCGGTCGAAGCCATAATGCTGGCAGCTCGAGGCTGATCATTGAGTAGGGCCAGTTCACCAAAAAAGTCTCCCTTCTTATAATGCAGCACCTTGTTGCTTGGCTCACCCTTGAAGGCGTCTGCCTCGCCGCTCTCTAGCAAGAAGAATGAGTGACCTGGGTCCCCCTCCTTAATGATGATCTCGCCTGGGGCATACTTCTTGGTTTCGAGGGCATCAGCAATCTTGGACCGCTCATACGGCGTTAACGATGACAGGAGTGGGACCTCCTCCAAGAAGGTCTCGTACATTCGCCTCCTGGCAAAGGTCGACTCCATTAGTATGCGGCGGAATGTGATGCGATCCAAAGCCCATAGCGTGCAGTTGGGTTCAACGGAAATGACTGTGGCGGCACGTGGGGCGTTGTACATGAGGGCGAGTTCACCAAATGATCCTCCGGCCTGGATATTCCCAACCTTCTCGCCCAAGCCGTCTGGTCCAGGCTGAATGGTTCCACTGGGGTTGACATGGACATCAAATGACCCCTTCTCCACGACGTAGAAGAAGTCGCCAGCATCACCTTGGCTGATGACCTACTAGACGTTAGCGTCTCATCCCACTCATTGCCTCTGACATTATAGCTCACCTTGATGCCCTTGGCAGGAATTGGCTTTTCAACCAATGCGCCGAGGATCTGGGCAGTTTGCTCTTCGTCGAGATGACTGAACAAGAAGTTGCCCTCGATGGCCCTTTTGAGACGCTCCAACTGGTCGGCGGTCTTTTCATGAAAAGGGGGCGACCAGTTGTCATAGCTGTCTGCACTAGGCTTTAGCGACTCAGCCGACACCGACGTGCGGCGAGCAAAGTTGTATTGGGCAGGATAGCTGTCTGGGTGTGGAGGCCCCCGGACAGTTGGAGGTGTATCTGTGCTGGCATCGCCACCAAAGGTTCCGGGAAAGGTGATGCCAGCACCTGAGCCGATCCCTGTGTTTTGGTTTCTGCCATTGTCATTCTCATCTTCCTCAGCCAGGCTATGCATAACATTCTGTGACCGATCGTTGCCAAAGGGGTTTGCGTTGGCCCCGAACGGGCTCGAAAAAGGAACAGACATTATGGCTAGTATGTATACTGTAGGTACAGGATCGAGTGTGATTCTTCGTTTGTAGGCTTGGTAGAAGATATTGGAAAGCGAAGCTCGGAGCGAGTTTTATTTGCCGGCTGGCAATATCGATAGCCTGTCGAGATTCTGGTCAATTCGGAACATAAACTTGACGAATCATCTGGCTGCGTGTCGAGGAGCTGCGGCAGCAAGTACATTTCTCATTGATAACACAATGGGACAAGCATGAAAGAGGGGACTGCAGACCGACCAACCTTTAATATCTAGGAGGAGCTGGATAAAATAAACTAGTCTCTGCCCGGTGTGAGGGTAAAGACCTGCATCATGGGGATGCGTTAGCAGAATGGTATGACTTTCTGATCATGTATCAGCGATGGGGGCAGTTGGGGGCCATGTGACGAGTACGAGCTAGGCAACGCCATGGAAGCTTTGGGAGCTTGCACAAAGTCAAATCGTGCTGGCAGAGTCATGGTTTGGGCTTCTGGTGTTGGGAGTAGCCACAAGAGATGAATCCGACTGTCCTCTTGGCTCTGAATCAACTGAGCGGCGCAATGAAACGTCAT